ACTAATAGATACACTTAGTATGTGATACCATAGAAATTTGCAGAGGGCCATAGAAATACTCCAGTATTCATCTAATAACAATTGATGGGAGAAGAGTCCAGGTAGGCTTTTTGGAAAAGATGATGTCTGAATGAAGTCTTTTAGACCTCAGTTATCTCTGCTATTTTGGGGCTGATATCACTGATTATCTCCTGCTCTACTACTCCTTTTCCCTGTAACCGATTGCTCTCCTGAAAAATCCCCTTCACTCATTGAAGACTTTGGCGTCCAGCTGAGAATTATCTCTTTCACCCTCGCTTATGTCGTCCGTCATTCCAGGTAACTCCTATGTCTGCGTCAATAATCCATTAAACATCTTGGCCTCTCTTGATCGCAACTCTGTTTACTTCTACCTAAACTCCCCTCCAATGACTTGCTTCCTCTGTTGTCATTAAGTATTCAGAAAGGTGGATATTCAACTTATAGATTCAAGTCTGTAGAATTTACCATTCTAATCCTGCTGCCAGTTAGCTGGCCATTCGGATCCTGTCCTCTTCTACCTTTTTTTTTTGAACCCCCAATTTATTATTCTAAACAGGTACCTGTGGGGCAGAAGGACAGAGAGGTTTATGAGGAAGGCTGAAGCTTGAGGGTGTGGCCCCTACAGAAGCATACATTTATTTAGAGACTGCAAGCAAGAAAGATGAGGGAGTTGATGAGGAATTTAATCTGTGAACTGTAGGGGCTGTGGTAGTTTCGATTTCAGTTCTTTTTTTTTTTTTTAACGTTTATTTATTTTGGGTGGGGGAGGAGAAGAAAGAGGGAGACAGAGGATCTGAAGCAGGTTCCGTGCTGTGAGCACAGAGCCCATTGTGGGGCTCAAACTCATGAGCCATGAGATCATGACCTGAGCTGAAATAAAGAGTTGACAGCTTAACTGACTGAGCTATCCAGGCGCCCCTCAGTTTCACTTCTTTACACTATAATCTTCTGAGTTGCTTACCTAGTCCAACCTTAAATGGTTTTTGCTCTGGCTAGTTAAAATGGCAAAGGAATGTATAACAAATTATCAAAGAATGAGCAATAATAAACAGGCAGCACAAATTGTGTTTTTAAAATTTAGACCACACCTCCCTAGAGAAGAATGGGGTGAAGTTCCCCATACTGTCTCAGCTGCTAAGTGAACCTAGAACTGAACTGAAAGCATATTCTATTTAAAAGTTTTTTTTAATGGTTATTTATTTTTGAGAGACAGAGAGACAGAGCATGAGTGGGGGAGGAGCAGAAAGAGGGAAACACAGAATCTGAAGCAGGCACCACGCTCTGAGTTGTCAGTGCAGAGCCTGATGCGGGGCTTGAACTCACAAACCATGAGATCATGACCTGAACTGAAGTTGGATGCTTAACTGACTGAGCCACCCAGGCACCCCTATTTTTAATATGACATTTGTAATTAAACAAAACTGAAGAATAATCATTGAATCTAGGAAAAAAGTTTTCCATGTTGAAAGCTGATGCTTTGAAAAGAGTAGATTAATAAATAGAGAATGAGGGCAGAGATGGGAAAATTCCTGGTTCTCTGCAGGCATCTTCTGCACATGTCCAAGGGGCTAGGGGATAAGTCCTCAGGTTCTCTGTCATTTCTAATTGGAATCAACACCTGGGGCACCTGGGTGTCTCAGTCGATTAAACATCGAACTTTGGCTCAGGTCATGATCTCACAGTCTGTGGGTTCGGGCCCCTTGTCGGGATCTGTGCTGACATCTCAGAGCCTGGAGCCTGCTTCAGATTCTGTGTCTCCCTCTCTCTAACCCTCCCCTGCTCATGCTGTGTGTGTGTCTCTCTCTCTGTCTCAAAAATAAATAAACATAAAAAAAAATTTTTTTTAAACCAATGATTTTCCAAAACGGTAACTGTCATTTTTTATAACATCATATTTACTTCTATCTTCTGGTAATCAGAAAAAGCACAAGTTATTTCTAAAAGAAATTTTCTTTTTTCTTGTTAACATGTTAACTACCATCAGTCGTAGACATCTTGGTCTTGACTTCGGTGGTTTTAGACAAATAGAAAGGGGATAGAGAAGAGAAGTGCTATCAGAACTCAGAAGCTTGGGGTAAAAGACTCACATGTGAGTGTGACAAAAAATGCCTAAATTCTATAAGTGGTGAGAGAGGAGGTAGGGAGGTGGGAGGCAATGGTTCACACATAGCTCCTCTGTGCAAGGAGAAAATAGGTGGCTGGAAAGGTAACTGTCAGATAATTTTTTATTTCCACTCCTACATGAGGAGGGTGGATGTGTTAGGGAGGTAGAGTATCAACGGGCCCTTTATATTTATAAGACATTTGTGAATTTTGCTCACAATCATGGTCTTCTTATCCATAGCTTGTACTTTTATGGTTTGAACCTAAATATCCTGAACTAAAGCTGCTATTGCCTTCAATTCCTGAACTTCCCATTTATTTCTAAGTGTATTTCCTACATAATGTTCAATTATTTGCTAGGAAGCTACAGTCAGACACAGAGAATTTTGCTGTGATAAGTGTTTAGCACCCTTTTGGGAAAGGGTGCTACAGCAATTTTGCTGCAAGGCTGTAATATATGGTGATAATGACACTTCACTCCTTTAGAAATGGTACCAGGGGCCGATCCCTGAGAGCAGAGTGCAGAGCTGCCGAGGCCTGCCTCTTTAGGAGGTTCTATGGATTGCTTGGGATGAGTAAATGTTTAATGAGCACTTTATTCTCATTACAGGGTAATGTTGGAGATCTAAGAACAACAGCATACCAACTCCTTTGTTAATTCTCATCGATTTATAATTTCCTTCTAATTGTGTTTTCTTCTTTCTTCCCAGTCTATATTAAAGTGAGTTTGACTTGGGCACCTGGGTGACTCAGTCGATTAAGCATCCAACTCTTGACTTTGGCTCAGGTCATGATCTCACAGTTCATGGGATTGAGCCCTCTGTTGGGCTCTATGCTGAGAGAGTGGCGCCTGCTTGGGATTCTCTCTCTCTTCCTTTTCTCTCTGCCCCTCCCCTGCTCGCACATGCTCTCTGTCTCTCTCTTTCTCAAAATAAATAAATTAAATAAACAAACAAAAAAAGAACTCCTGTGGTTTGCCTCCATCTCTGTTTTTATTTTATTTTTCCTTCCTTTCCCCTATGTTCATGTGTTGTGTTTCTCAAATTCCACATGAGTGAAATCATATGATATCTGTCTTTCTCTGACTTATTTCACTTAGCATAATACACTCTAGTTCCATCCATGTTGTTGCAAATGGCAAGATTTTATTCTTTTTCATACCGAGTAGTATTCCATCATATAAATATACCACATCTTCTTTATCCATTCATCAGCCAATGGACATTTGGGCTCTTTCCATCATTTGGCTATTGTTGATAGTGCTGCTATAAACATTGGGGTGCATGTGCTCCTTTGAATCAGCATTTTTGTATCCTTTGGATAAATACCTAATAGTACAAAGTTCCATATTTCAGACCATTTCAGCCCTCAGAGTTCGTAATCAGTACTTGGTTTGTACAGATCCTAAGTTACCTAACTTTTGTATTCATGGAGACTTTGAGAGTGGTCTGTATTCCTATCAAGAATTATATCAGGCAAGAATGATGTGTAGGCCTCAGCAAAGATAATATTTCAAATGGTGGGAGAGAAACAGAGGAAAGAAAAGGAAAATTGTATGTAGATCAATTTGGATGATTAAGCTTTTTATCTTCAAAACACATCAAGTTCTTTACAATGAAAGGGAATTAGAAGTCTTGCCTATTTGCCTTCATAATTTGATTCTATTTTAACATCAAACTTCAATAGTCCTAATGTCTTAACAATAATTGTTACATCAATTGAGAATTACTGTCATGGAAGCTAATGCAAAAAGGAAATCCAAGTGGATGATAAAACAAACTGTTATTGGATCACATCGTGCAATCAAGATAATCTAACAAATAGTTTCTGAAACACTGAAAAAAAATGAACTCCTTAAAAAAAAATAAAGTGGGCTTGATTCCTGTGGAATCTAAGTCCCAAATGCTAAATGGAAGATCAAAATGAAATGATATTAGCAGTTAGGATTTTATGATAATGGAGAGAGACTGGTGAGTTGTTTTATGTGTGGTCGGATGTGAGGTGTGGGAAGACGGGGTGCAGCATTCCTGGGGGGAGCAAATGACTAAGTAGCAGGTCCAAGGAGAGAGAGGCTGTCAGGATACAAAGGGTAACTAATTTTCTTGAATAACAAGAAAGATTCTGCTGGTGTGTGGAATGGGAGCATGGGTGAGGGATGTTATTGAATCAGGGGGTGTTAAAGAGGCAGGTATAACAGAGCTTCTGCCACTGTGAGGTTTGTGAATTTGATCAGGGGCTAATATGGAACCTAAATCAGTTTTGAGATGGTGATGCTGCTGTGTTACTTGGGGTCAAACCAACCATTGTAGGTGAAAGATTTAGGGTCCAAAGGGGAAGTTTGTATCGTGTGTGTGTGAGTGTATGAGTGTGTGTGTGTGTGTGTGTGTGTGTGTGCGTGTGTGTACACACACACAGATGCACAGATGGAAGAGTGGTCATTGGGTGAGACTATTATTTCAGAAGGGGGGAATATAAAAAGGCATGTTCCATCTCAGAGAAGATCATTACTTCCAGTTACTTCTTTAGGCTCTAAATCCTCCAGAATGTAGAGTAATTAGCACCATGAGAATCAGAGCATAAAAACTGCACCCATTCATGCGCCTATCTCCACCATCCCCGGCTCTCTGAAATTCCTGAGGTAGCATTATCATGACGTTCACCTGACTACCAAGTATTCCCCTCAAAGGAGGCCAGAGATTGACCAAACCATACCCAAATAGCCCTAAATCCAAGATTCTCTTCCAGGCAAATTTTTCACCCTATTGGCTTGGGATTATTTTCTATTGCCTATACAAGAGAAAGGGGAAAGACATCAGAAGGGCGATTTTCTTTTCCTAAAACAATGTCCTGCAATTCTCCATTTCTCTTCTCTACAGGTTATCCAACCATCTACCAACCCCCAGGAAGTGCAACAAACTCAAAATCTGCTCACAGGGAAAACAGCAGAAGGAAAATATAGGAAGAGTTTACATACAGGTGGGATAAATTACAGGTGCCTCCTGTTTACTAAGTACAAGCTTGCAGAGGTAGACAGTCCCTGGTGGACTCTCCCGATTTCATTCTCCCTTTAGCAGCTCTGGGGTCATTCATTTTTCTGGTTAGGACATCTCACCCTCACACTCAGAAGAGTTGCTTTACCTGTTCATGTATTCTCTCTATTGCTTTCACTCTTTGCCCAGCGGTCACCTCCTCCGAAATCAATGAGAAAAAAAGTGTTTCCCGCCAGAGCTGCAAATACATCCATGAGCTCTGCCCTGAGATGTTTCCTCAGACTTTTGAGCAGTGTCTCATCAGATTCTGGGCACTCGGAGCAGTTATATATGTTCTGTTTTCCAAGTACCCTATCTGAGTCACCACCACCAGAATCTCTCTGGTGGGTTTTCTCCATTTCTTCTACCATTCCGTGTTTGGTGTTTTTCTTACAGGATGATTAGCACAGTACATCCACTTCACTCAGCTCTTCCGGTGTTCTTTGTGATGACTTTCTAAATCCAGTTCCTTTAAACACAGTCTCCAAGCCCCCAGTGTCTCCACCTTACCTCACTCTGTCTCAACCACTATTCCCTTGGTCTCAGAAGGGTCACTGACAGCTTCTAAATACAAATATGTTATAAAACTGCTTATAAGTGATTTGGAAATTCAAAACCCTTCTCCATTTTTGCTACACTTTATCATTTGAACATTAAAGTTTTGTTGGTTGTGCCTGTCACCATATTTAACATGAACTTAACCAGGTATTTGCAACTCCATCACAAAATAAACTTACTTTCCCCACAGTTTGGGGAAAAGGATGAGAAGTCTAGAAAAAGAGAGCAACAGATATCTCACAGAAACATGACAGTCATACCTCCTTTATTTTTTAAAAATTATTTATTTAAGCAATCTCTACCCCCAAAGTGGGCCCCCAATTCACAACCCCCAAGATCAAGAGTCTCATGCTCCTCTGACTGAGCCAGTCAGGCACCCCTGTCATATTTCCTTTAAATTCTACCTTCATATCCTTTCTTTCAGAGCTTAGAGACTTGTACATGGGACTTTATCCTGGGATCAGTCTTTGAGATAGATGTACTGTATATTTTTTCCCAAAAAATTCTTGTGTAAATTCACTATACAAATAGAAGTTCACCAAGCTTGGGATATTTGCCTTACAGATAAATGGGGAACATATTCTGTAAAACAGATCTTTGGATGGGAAGATCTGTATCAGGTGATGGGGAGTTAAAAGAGCAAAAAGGATGAAGAGGGGACTGAGAGAAGAGAAACAAAATAGAAAAAGGAAAAGAGGATGGAGAATGAAGAAGAAAAGGCAAGGAACATGGGAAGCCTGGCAGGGAATTCTGATTATCAACAGTACACCCCAAAGTAGGATTCCTAGTGAAAAATCAGTGAGTGTATTATTACCTGCAATCCAAAGCCATGTCATTGTATGTGTATAGAATGTGATATCTAGGTGCAACCGTTCTGTATCTTCTGGATATATGTAAAACTTAATAATGGAAAAATTGGAAGTTCCTCTTTGATTCTGCCAAGAAAGTCCAAAGAGATCTGGAATAAGAGAACTGTATCAACGAGGAAGAATTTGAGAAAAGTTGGAGAAAGAGAAAATGTTAAGTCTCTAGTAGCTGTTAAGTACCAGGATTGAAAAGCTACACTGGAGAACACCTGACTGGCTTAGTGGGTAGGGTATGTGTCTCTTGTTCTCAGGGTCATCAGTTCAGGCTTCATGTTGGGTGTAGAATTTACTTAAAAAAAAAAAGAAAGAAAGAAAAAGAAAACCTACTCTGTTCTTCTGATGAAATGGAGGAGGACATCCATAAATGACTTCTCAGTGGTTATCCCCAATTCTTAGGGTGGGGTTGAGGGTGTTCTATAGTCTTTGGTTGGGGTGTAGCAAGCATAGAGAAGCCTTCCCATGGACATATATCATGATCTTGCCTTCGCTTCCTGCACTGTATGTCCTCTTAACATCATGGCCTTAACAGCATCATGTCTACACATTTCCTTCTTAAAAATGTTATTAGAGGGGCGCCTGGGTGGCTCAGTCGGTTAAGTGTCCGACTTTGGCCTAGGTCATGATCTCGTGGTTCACGAGTTCGAGCCCCGTGTCGGGCTCTGTGCTGACAGCTCGGAGCCTGGAGCCTGCTTCCGATTCTGTGTCTCCCTCTCTCTCTGACCCTACCCCCATTCACGCTGTCTCTCTCTGTCTCAAAAATAAATAAACGTTAAAAAAATAAAAAAAATGTTATTAGATTCCCCTTTTGTTGCGTGGGTTCGGGGAAGTGTACTCTCCTGCTTCTCCTTAGTTATGCTCCTGATTTCTAACCCCTGGGAAGGTAAGAAGTATGTGGGACATTCTTTTCAAAAGCTGCAACCTGGGCCACAGTGTTTCTTATTGTTGGGCTCCATCTGCATAGCAGTTAATTCAAATAATAGAAGTTAATAAACTGCTCTGATGACAGAAGAACTTTAGCTGAATATGAAGAGATCTGGGGACAAAGAGTAAGCTTAGCTTAGCCATTGAATCCAATTAGACTTGCCTCAGAATTCAGTGGTTAAACCTTTTGTGATTCCAACCACTCTCATCTGCCATCTTCCCAAGACTGACACTATCCCTCATTCAGCTCTCTGTTGAGTTTTCTTCTCCCTGACAACCTACATCACTCTTTCCCCTTATTTGGTTTTATTTTCTTTTCACCTCTTATCATTACTTTAAATTTATTATATATTTGGTTACTTATTACCTGTGACCTTCATTATATTGCTAGCTCCATGCAGGGAAGAATTTGTCTTGTTCACTGCTCTGTGTTGGGTACCTAGAATAGCACCTGGTACATGGTTGACGTTTGATAACTCTTTATTAAAGGAAGAAAAGCACCTGGCTACTCTTTACCAAGGTTCTAGGAGATCCTTTTTTTACTTAATATGTCCTTTGATTCCAGATTTAAAAACATATACACATACAGTATGATTTTATTTTATTTATTTTTTTAGAGCATGCGCACGAGAGGGTGGGAGTGGAGAGGGGCAGAGGGAGAGAAAGACTCTTAAGCAGCCTCCAAACTCAGTGCAGAGCTCCACACAGGGCCTGATCCCACAATCCTGGGATCATGACCTGAACCTAAATCAAGAGTCAGATGCTTAACTGACTGAGGCACCCAGGCATACCCCTCCTGCCCCCCCACAGTATATATCTCCAATAAAACTCACGGTTTTGGCTTTTCCTGTGTTCATCTCAGCACATCTTTAGTGTGATGTCTTTCTCCCTTTCTACCTCTATTGATGAATCCACCCAAAAGATACTCTCTGCTCTCAAGCTATTTCTAGCTGATTTATCCCTGTTCAGGTAATGTATCCCAAGATTTCAAAAATATTATTTAATTTTGTTCTTTTCTCTTATTTGAGCATACAATCAACCAACTTCGGTTCAGTGAACTGTGGATTGAAGCTAAAAGATGCCCCATTCTTACCATGCCTAATGATAACCAACTTTGTTTTGTTTGATTACATTTACGAGACTTACACTTTTTTTCTTAAGTTTATTTTCAGAGAGAAAGAGAGTGTGAATATAAGTGGGGAGGGGCAGAAAGAGAGGGAGAGAAAGAGAATACAAGCAGGCTCCATGCTACCAGCGTGGAATCTGATGTGGGGCTTTATCCCATGAACAGTGAGATCATGACCTGAGCTGAAATCAAGAGTCAGACACTCAACTGACGGAGACACCCAGGTGCCCCTGAAACTTATACTTAAAAAAAAATACAGACATCATTACTTTTCATTTTCAATTTTCACTTTTTATTATTTTTCATTAAGATACTTAAATAATAGCACAGACAAAACTGAATATTTAGGTGGCAGGGGATGCCATATGTGATACTTGAAATGTTCATAGATGAGCAAATATATGAATTCAGCAGTGTGAAAGGTGAATTAGGTATGCCAGCATAGAATGTGCACAAGGTCGTGTACTACAAAAGTCTAAAGTACACAAATCAAAGGTCATCTGTTCTTTGCAGTTTGGGGTTCAAACCCAGGTACCACGAAGTAGGTGTGTGTCCTAGAGTAAGGGCTTCCTCTGTACCATCAGCAGAGAAATGGAAACCTCAGAAACAGCTATTCACAGGGTTGTTTAAAGAATCAAATGAGACAATGCCTGTGGGAAGCACGTGGTAAAGGTGTTATTGCTATGAGAGAGGCAAGGGACAAGGAAGAAGGACTATGTAATTTCCTGAGTCCTTAGGCACTGGAGGTGAAGCATGTCCTTGGCTGAGTGGAAAAGCCAGGGAAGCTGGTCTTGCTGATAAAGAGATATAAAATACCTTTGGCTTTGGTATTGATGACAATGGAATGATAACTCTATTAGTGTTTCTTTGCCATAGTTTTTCATTTCTTCATAAATTTATGTAATATACAAAATTACAAATACTATGTGTGCGTGCATATGTATAATTACTATTTCATAACTGTAAACAGGTCCTCAGTATTTCATTTTGGTTTCAGTTAATATCTTTCTCTAGTGACCATGGCCATGATTCCTTCATCAGTGGGTCCCCCTTCCGCTCAGGAATGTACGTTTAGATTTTGAGTCCCCTGTTATATGTGGGCAAACTGAGGCCCTGAGAGAAGATGCTCTGAAGATTATTCTTAAGCAGGAGAGTGAACCCCACTCAATATCTTGATGCTTGGGTCCTGGTGATTACTATTTTTTAAAAGAAATGTTTTTACTACTTCAGCATTTCTCTGTTTTGGACCCTGTTTTTCCCTCCAGGGTGACCAGAGACAGGGAGATCTCTTAGCCCACTGTTTTTGCTCCTCTACTGCCTGTGTCTAAAACATCTGGTGCCCATCTCCTTGTCCTCACTCTCTCTTCTCCTGACCGCCCCCCCTGCAGAGCCCAGATCCTAGGACTATTGGGGCACACTGAGCTCTATGCCCACAGGAGACAGGAGAGAGTGAGAGAGAATAGTCATGGTTCCTCAGGAGGACCCTGTGGACTCACAGTAGTCTGCCTTTTTCCTCAAGCTCACGTTTCCCAAACTGAGTATGATGCTGGGATGTGCCCAAGTGTCCAGCGGAGACAGCTGCTCCTTGGGAACCACTATCGTGCTCCTATTCAACCCTGCAGGAGCACACCATCAGTGTGTGTGAGAGGAGCTGGAGGCTTCCACCTTTCCCAGTGCCTTTTGGTTTCAGATCTAACACCAGTAGTGCCTAAAGAGGAGGAGGAAGGGGATATGGAGAAAGGGTCCCAGGTAAGGTGGAGTGTTTCCGTCCTGGTGTTGTGTTATCTTCATTTACTGCAGACTGCCCCAGAGATCCTAGGTTTGGAAACTGTGCCTACAGAGAGTTTGCGGGGGACCTCTTGGCTCCATTCAACCCATTTCACTTGCCTTGTTGTCCCCTGTGTGCCACCCACCACTGCCAAATTTTGCATCTGGACCTGGGTGGCAGGATGAGACCTACCACTGGTAAGTCCCCTACCTTTCCCTCAGCCTCTTTCATGCTCCTTTCATTGCCATCACAGCATTTGTCACGGGTTGTCATTTAAAACTTATTTATTGTCTGTTTTTTTCAACTTGGCTGTAAGGCCTGGAACTATTTTGTTCACCACCATATCCCTTGAACACCAACATTATCTGACACTGTCAATCATATTTTTCTGAGTGAATGAGTGCATGAATGAATGATTTGAGTTTCCTGTGTCCTCTTGCACACTGGGCTATTGCTGATTTCAGTGCAGCAATGAATCCCATGACAGGACCCCACTCCCTGCCTTGGCCTCATTCTGTTCTCCCTCTTGGGGAAGACCTAGGGGTCTTCTTCCAACCCCACTCCTTCTGCCCCACCCTAAGAGATCCGGGTTCAAGGGAAGCTCTGTCTAGGTTCCTTCTTGATGCATCTCTGTCTTCTTTTTGAGCCTTTAATTCTTGCTGCCAGCCGGTCTGGCCCCAGTGTGCTGTTTACTCTGTGCCCTCCCTCTGTCACCTGCCCTTGCAAAAGCCTGTGAACCATAAGGTGATATTCAGTGACTTTCTCTGCTTGCCCCTCTGTCCCATTCCTCACCCCTGCTCTTTCATTCCCTCCAGAAGCTCGGCATGTCCCATGACACTGGTGACCAAAACCACTGGTACAAACAATCATGGTGATGGTATGCTAATCCCTCTGAATTCCAAGTTGTTAAAGAAAGAGTTATTTCCAGGGTGGGAAAGTTGTTTCAAAAGTCAAAAAGCATGGGGCACCTGGGTGGCTCAGTCGATTAAGCATCCCACTCTTGATTTCAGCTCAGGTCATAATCTCATGGTTCATGAGTTCAAGCCCCATGTCAGTCTCTGTGCTGACAGTGTGGCACTTGCTTGGGATTCTCTTGTCTCCCTCTCTCCCTGCCTCTCTCTCGCCCTTCCTCAAAAACAAACAAACAAACAAACAAACAAACAAACATTTAAAAAGTCAAATAGCATAGGAATAATTCAGTCAGAATAACTGAGAGGGTTGATGTGGAGAGACAGTAAGATGCATAACAAGGCAGGGGGGATTTCAAACAGGTTTCATGTCTCTGGGGGATTATTATACAGAGACAGGTTAGCTCTCTACTAGGTGACACTGTAACAGAAATCTGAACAGCAAAACCTATAGCACGACGAATTTGGATAGGGATGAACAGGATCTCTTACCAGAGAGAATCTTTACCATAAATGTGTGAGGGAAACTGAGAACATACCAGGGAGTCCAGACGATTGAGGACAGGTAATGTGTGGCCCA